TCAGTGCGTGTCAGTGTGTGTCAGTGTGTGTCAGTGTGTGTTAGTGTGTGTCAGTGCGTGTCAGTGTGTGTCAGTGTGTGTCAGTGTGTGTTAGTGTGTGTCAGTGTGTGTTAGTGTGTGTCAGTGCGTGTCAGTGTGTTAGTGTGTGTCAGTGTGTGTCAGTGTGTGTTAGTGTGTGTCAGTGTGTGTTAGTGTGTGTCAGTGCGTGTCAGTGTGTTAGTGTGTGTCAGTGTGTGTCAGTGTGTGTCAGTGTGTGTTAGTGTGTGTCAGTGTGTGTCAGTGCGTGTCAGTGTGTGTCAGTGTGTGTCAGTGTGTGTCAGTGTGTGTTAGTGTGTGTCAGTGTGTGTCAGTGTGTGTCAGTGTGTGTCAGTGTGTGTCAGTGTATGTCAGTGTGTGTTAGTGTGTGTCAGTGTGTGTCAGTGTGTGTCTGTGTGTGTCAGTGTGTGACAGTGTGTGTTAGTGCGTGTCAGTGTGTGTCTCAGTGTGTGTCAGTGTGTGTTAGTGTGTGTCAGTGTGTGTCAGTGTGTGCAGTGTGTGTCAGTGTGTGTTAGTGTGTGTCAGTGCGTGTCAGTGTGTGTCAGTGTGTGTCAGTGTGTGTTAGTGTGTGTCAGTGCGTGTCAGTGTGTGTCAGTGTGTGTCAGTGTGTGTTAGTGTGTGTCAGTGTGTGTTAGTGTGTGTCAGTGCGTGTCAGTGTGTTAGTGTGTGTCAGTGTGTGTCAGTGTGTGTCAGTGTGTGTTAGTGTGTGTCAGTGTGTGTTAGTGTGTGTCAGTGCGTGTCAGTGTGTTAGTGTGTGTCAGTGTGTGTCAGTGTGTGTCAGTGTGTGTTAGTGTGTGTCAGTGTGTGTCAGTGCGTGTCAGTGTGTGTCAGTGTGTGTCAGTGTGTGTCAGTGTGTGTTAGTGTGTGTCAGTGTGTGTCAGTGTGTGTCAGTGTGTGTCAGTGTATGTCAGTGTGTGTTAGTGTGTGTCAGTGTGTGTCTGTGTGTGTCAGTGTGTGACAGTGTGTGTTAGTGCGTGTCAGTGTGTGTCTCAGTGTGTGTCAGTGTGTGTTAGTGTGTGTCAGTGTGTGTCAGTGTGTGTTAGTGTGTGTCAGTGCGTGTCAGTGTGTGTCAGTGTGTGTCAGTGTGTGTTAGTGTGTGTCAGTGCGTGTCAGTGTGTGTCAGTGTGTGTTAGTGTGTGTCAGTGTGTGTTAGTGTGTGTCAGTGCGTGTCAGTGTGTTAGTGTGTGTCAGTGTGTGTCAGTGTGTGTCAGTGTGTGTTAGTGTGTGTCAGTGTGTGTTAGTGTGTGTCAGTGCGTGTCAGTGTGTTAGTGTGTGTCAGTGTGTGTCAGTGTGTGTCAGTGTGTGTCTGTGTGTGTCAGTGTGTGACAGTGTGTGTTAGTGCGTGTCAGTGTGTGTCTCAGTGTGTGTCAGTGTGTGTTAGAGTGTGTCAGTGTGTGTCAGTGTGTGTCAGTGTGTGTTAGTGTGTGTCAGTGCGTGTCAGTGTGTGTCAGTGTGTGTCAGTGTGTGTTAGTGTGTGTCAGTGCGTGTCAGTGTGTGTCTGTGTGTGTCAGTGTGTGACAGTGTGTGTTAGTGCGTGTCAGTGTGTGTCAGTGTGTGTCAGTGTGTGTTAGTGTGTGTCCGTGTGTGTCCGTGTGTGTCAGTTATAGATATTCTCCATGGGCAGCTTTTTGATTGGCTGTAAACATGAAAGTTCATTTTACAAAGTGGATTATTTGATGTTATTCTGCTTTAACTTGTTTGCGCCGAGAGCCAAAGAAATGTCCAATGTTGTGACTTCCTGTTACTCTCAGGGCAATGAAAGGATTCTGGTTCTGGTTCTGGTTCTGGTTCTGGTTTGTGGCCGCACAGACTTTAGTACAGACTGATATTGCTGTGTGTTGTTTTTCTATAAACTTTTATTGTTGTCTACTTTTAAAGTTGCATTATTGACCTTTCATGCGTCTGATTTCAAGATGAAATGATTTGACAGAAGTTGTTGATATAGAAAGAATCTTAAGAACATTTTAAATCTTCATATTTGCTGTGTGTGGGTTTCTAGGTCACGGCACCAGTTTCTAAAATCTCCAAATAGATTCTGAAGTCCACAGAATAAAACTAAACCAAACACACTTTCGTACTGAGTCCTGCTGTATTTACGTGACGTCAAAGGCTCTGCTAGCCTAAAGATCAAGTTAGCGATCAGCAGATTATTTTCCCATGTGCAAAAACGCCTTCTCTTGACTTATCCTGCTCTACTTTGGACTTGTTTGCACCGAGAGCCAAAGCATTTTCTAATCTGTGACTTCCTGTTACTTACAAGGAAATAAAAATGATTCTGATTCTGTGGCGCTCTGCACTTGACAGTTCAACAATCATGTCCCACACATTTACACACATTCTGAGTGTGTTTGTCACTGTCCACGCTGCACCTGCAGAGACTGACACAAACATGTGCTGCTTATTACCATATAAGTCCTTGTGTACGACCAGGTGGACGTGTGGACTGAGAGAGACAGAGGAGAGCCTCTGCCTCTGTCTCTCTCAGCCTCCCTCAGCCTCCCCCAGCCTCCCTCAGCCTCCCTCAGCCTCCCTCAGCCTCCCTCAGCCTCCCCCAGCCTCCCTCAGCCTCCCTCAGCCTCCCTCAGCCTCCCCCAGCCTCTCTCAGCCTCCCTCAGCCTCCCCCAGCCTCTCTCAGCCTCCCTCAGCCTCTCTCAGCCTCCCCCAGCCTCTCTCAGCCTCCCTCAGCCTCCCCCAGCCTCCCTCAGCCTCCCTCAGCCTCTCTCAGCCTCCCTCAGCCTCTCTCAGCCTCCCCCAGCCTCTCTCAGCCTCCCTCAGCCTCCCCCAGCCTCCCTCAGCCTCCCTCAGCCTCTCTCAGCCTCCCTCAGCCTCCCTCAGCCTCTCTCAGCCTCCCCCAGCCTCCCCCAGCCTCCCTCAGCCTCCCCCAGCCTCCCTCAGCCTCCCTCAGCCTCTCTCAGCCTCCCTCAGCCTCTCTCAGCCTCCCCCAGCCTCCCTCAGCCTCCCTCAGCCTCTCTCAGCCTCCCCCAGCCTCTCTCAGCCTCCCTCAGCCTCTCTCAGCCTCCCCCAGCCTCCCTCAGCCTCCCTCAGCCTCTCTCAGCCTCCCTCAGCCTCTCTCAGCCTCCCCTCCCCAGCCTCCCTCAGCCTCCCTCAGCCTCTCTCAGCCTCCCTCAGCCTCCCTCAGCCTCCCCAGCCTCCCTCAGCCTCCCTCAGCCTCTCTCAGCCTCCCTCAGCCTCCCCCAGCCTCTCTCAGCCTCCCTCAGCCTCCCTCAGCCTCCCTCAGCCTCCCTCAGCCTCCCTCTCAGCCTCCCTCAGCCTCTCTCAGCCTCCCTCAGCCTCCCTCAGCCTCCCCCAGCCTCCCTCAGCCTCCCTCAGCCTCTCTCAGCCTCCCCCAGCCTCCCTCAGCCTCCCTCAGCCTCTCTCAGCCTCCCTCAGCCTCCCTCAGCCTCCCTCAGCCTCTCTCAGCCTCCCTCAGCCTCCCTCAGCCTCCCCCAGCCTCCCTCAGCCTCCCTCAGCCTCTCTCAGCCTCCCTCAGCCTCCCTCAGCCTCTCTCAGCCTCCCTCAGCCTCTCTCATGAACCCATCAGCTCAGTGGAGTACTACCAAGTACTACATGTATGAGGTAATTGTTGTTTGGTCACGTGATCCGCTGCAGCAGCTGTCAGATGTGATGATGGCAGGACCCGCCCCCCACGACGCTGATTGGACAGAGAGCTCCGAGCAAGGGACCGTCAGCCAATAGTAGGGCCTCTAAGGAAACGTGAAGTCACTGACAGCAGTATGTGTATGTGTAGCTGAGGATCATTTAGGCTGTATGCAGAGCAGGGTGTCCAAACCTTTTAGTCTGAGGGCCACTTTGGTTCACCAGATCTCTCCAGGAGCCGACAAGATGGATTCTGATTTGGCTGGACTGAAGCTGGTTGTCCAGATGGATTCACACCACAGCTACACAATCAAAAACACATGTCACTAAAAAATTAATTAGACAGAGAGGTTCCGGAGCCTCTGACTTTGAGCTGTAGCAGAGTGTATACAGATGCTAACAATGCTAACTCGCTAGCTCCACGAAGCCCAATAGGGACCTGCTCATGGGTCAGGGTTCGTCCTCTTGGCTTACATCGAAAACTAACTTCTCTCTCAGTAACTGTTTGTGTCACACTCTCCATTTTGGGCTCAAAACTGTGAATTCATCCTAAAAGTTAAATCTGACTTTTACAGAAGCTTGTTTACAAAGTCACAGCTGTCGTCAGTTTAATGCAGTCTCTCCTCGTGACATTGCTCTTACGATCCCGGCACATGTCCAGGTTCTTTGGGCTATTTTAATAACAAGCTTCTATAATCAGAGGCTGTGGCTGAACTCTGAAACAGCCACGTCAGAGCGGCATCATTTTAATACAAACTTCGTCAGACATCTGGGACAGTCTTCCTGAAAATGTGAGACAGGAATCTACTCTGACAATGTTCAAATGAAACAGTTTTGTTGACCTGTCTTTATAATAATTCACTGTGTTTATTTACCATGTGCATGAACTGTGCTATACCATGAAAACTTACCTTGCCTTTGCTAAATCTGGGAGGCAACTAATCCACCGATCGCTAACTTCAGCTGCAGCATGATCCATTCCTTTGATGTGACCATTGACGTTGCATAAAGGGGCAGAACACAGAGCAATACGGTAAGACTGTACACAGACTCGTTCCTTTTTGTTAATTTGACAAGGACAGTGCCACCTACAGGTAACCGATGGTACTTGGGGCTTGGTAACATAGACTTAGATCGACATGCCTTGTTTTAAACTGTGCTACACAAATAAGCTCGCCACGCCTTTGCCTGACTTCATTTATATCAGCACTGTCACATCCAAACACCAACGTACGGCTTTAAATATCCACCAGCTGCTCTTTGAGGCGTCTTAGGATTCTCTGCTCACTCATGAAGAAACATTTGTCCAGCGATGGTAAAGTGAACCGTGGGTTACAGGTCCAGTCCTCTCTGTCCCCAGATGCATCATGGGAGGTTTCAGTCCGGGTCTGAGGAGACTGCAGCTGCTCGGACTCACTCTGGTCTGTGTGTTCTGCAGCAGCTCGGACTCACTCTGGTCTGTGTCCTCTGCAGCAGCTCGGACTCACACTGTTCTGTGTCCTCTGCAGCAGCTTGGACTCACTCTGGTCTGTGTCTTCTGAAGCAGCTCGGACTCACTCTGGTCTGTGTCTTCTGAAGCAGCTTGGACTCACTCTGGTCTGTGTCCTCTGCAGCAGCTCGGACTCACTCTGGTCTGTGTCCTCTGCAGCAGCTCGGACTCACACTGTTCTGTGTCCTCTGCAGCAGCTCGGACTCACACTGTTCTGTGTCCTCTGCAGCAGCTCGGACTCACTCTGGTCTGTGTCCTCTGCAGCAGCTTGGACTCACTCTGGTCTGTGTCCTCTGCAGCAGCTTGGACTCACTCTGGTCTGTGTCTTCTGAAGCAGCTCGGACTCACTCTGGTCTGTGTCTTCTGAAGCAGCTCGGACTCACTCTGGTCTGTGCCCTCTGCAGCAGCTCGGACTCACTCTGTTCTGTGTCCTCTGCAGCAGCTTGGACTCACTCTGGTCTGTGTCCTCTGCAGCAGCTCGGACTCACTCTGGTCTGTGCCCTCTGCAGCAGCTCGGACTCACTCTGGTCTGTGCCCTCTGCAGCAGCTCGGACTCACTCTGGTCTGTGTCCTCTGCAGCAGCTCGGACTCACTCTGGTCTGTGTCCTTTGCAGCAGCTCGGACTCACTCTGGTCTGTGTCCTCTGCAGCAGCTCGGACTCACTCTGGTCTGTGTCCTTTGCAGCAGCTCGGACTCACTCTGGTCTGTGTCCTCTGCAGCAGCTCGGACTCACTCTGGTTTGTGTCCTCTGCAGCAGCTCGGACTCACTCTGGTCTGTGTCCTCTGCAGCAGCTCGGACTCACTCTGGTCTGTGTCCTCTGCAGCAACTTGGACTCACTCTGGTCTGTGTCTTCTGAAGCAGCTCGGACTCACTCTGGTCTGTGTCCTCTGCAGCTGCTCGGACTCACTCTGGTCTGTGCCCTCTGCAGCAGCTCGGACTCACTCTGGTCTGTGTCGTCTGCAGCAGCTCGGACTCACTCTGTTCTGTGTCCTCTGCAGCAGCTTGGACTCACTCTGGTCTGTGTCCTCTGCAGCAGCTCGGACTCACTCTGGTCTGTGCCCTCTGCAGCAGCTCGGACTCACTCTGGTCTGTGCCCTCTGCAGCAGCTCGGACTCACTCTGGTCTGTGTCCTCTGCAGCAGCTCGGACTCACTCTGGTCTGTGTCCTTTGCAGCAGCTCGGACTCACTCTGGTCTGTGTCCTCTGCAGCAGCTCGGACTCACTCTGGTCTGTGTCCTTTGCAGCAGCTCGGACTCACTCTGGTCTGTGTCCTCTGCAGCAGCTCGGACTCACTCTGGTTTGTGTCCTCTGCAGCAGCTCGGACTCACTCTGGTCTGTGTCCTCTGCAGCAGCTCGGACTCACTCTGGTCTGTGTCCTCTGCAGCAACTTGGACTCACTCTGGTCTGTGTCTTCTGAAGCAGCTCGGACTCACTCTGGTCTGTGTCCTCTGCAGCTGCTCGGACTCACTCTGGTCTGTGCCCTCTGCAGCAGCTCGGACTCACTCTGGTCTGTGTCCTCTGCAGCAGCTTGGACTCACTCTGGTCTGTGTCTTCTGAAGCAGCTTGGACTCACTCTGGTCTGTGTCCTCTGCAGCTGCTCGGACTCACTCTGGTCTGTGCCCTCTGCAGCAGCTCGGACTCACTCTGGTCTGTGTCCTCTGCAGCAGCTTGGACTCACTCTGGTCTGTGTCTTCTGAAGCAGCTTGGACTCACTCTGGTCTGTGTCCTCTGCAGCTGCTCGGACTCACTCTGGTCTGTGTCCTCTGCAGCTGCTCGGACTCACTCTGGTCTGTGTCCTCTGCAGCAACTTGGACTCACTCTGGTCTGTGTCTTCTGAAGCAGCTCGGACTCACTCTGGTCTGTGTCCTCTGCAGCTGCTCGGACTCACTCTGGTCTGTGCCCTCTGCAGCAGCTCGGACTCACTCTGGTCTGTGTCCTCTGCAGCAGCTTGGACTCACTCTGGTCTGTGTCTTCTGAAGCAGCTTGGACTCACTCTGGTCTGTGTCCTCTGCAGCAGCTCGGACTCACTCTGGTCTGTGCCCTCTGCAGCAGCTCGGACTCACTCTGGTCTGTGTCCTCTGCAGCAGCTTGGACTCACTCTGGTCTGTGTCTTCTGAAGCAGCTTGGACTCACTCTGGTCTGTGTCCTCTGCAGCTGCTCGGACTCACTCTGGTCTGTGTCCTCTGCAGCTGCTCGGACTCACTCTGGTCTGTGTCCTCTGCAGCTGCTCGGACTCACTATGGTCTGTGTCGTCTGCAGCTGCTCGGACTCACTCTGGTCTGTGTCCTCTGCAGCTGCTCGGACTCACTCTGGTCTGTGTCCTCTGCAGCTGCTCGGACTCACTCTGGTCTGTGTCCTCTGCAGCTGCTCGGACTCACTCTGGTCTGTGTCCTCTGCAGCTGCTCGGACTCACTATGGTCTGTGTCGTCTGCAGCTGACCTGGTACCAACGTGTTCTAACTGACCATGTTTGGACAGAGCGGGTACCAAGGGTTACCATGAGTTACCATGAGTTACCAAGGTTACCATGAGTTACCAAGGGCTACCATGAGTGCCACAGTTACCAAGGGTTACCATGAGTTACCAAGGGTTACCATGAGTTACCATGAGTTACCAAGGGTTACCATGAGTTACCATGAGTTACCAAGGGTTACCATGAGTTACCAAGAGTTACCATGAGTTACCATGAGTTACCAAGGGTTACCATGAGTTACCATGAGTTACCAAGGGTTACCATAAGTTACCATGAGTTACCAAGGGTTACCATGAGTTACCATGAGTTACCATGAGTTACCAAGGGTTACCATGAGTTACCATGAGTTACCAAGGGTTACCATGAGTTACCAAGGGTTACCATGAGTTACCATGAGTTACCAAGGGTTTCTTATGGGTAGGTTTCTAGGATTTGGTGCCAGTTACGGAAAGAGAACACTCAGAACCAGGACATTTACTCAGTTTATTGTAATATTCTGTTTCTTTGTGTTGGTTAAAGTCTATGGTTCTCCGCCCAAGCCCGGATAAAGCCACACGGTCAGAGTGAAAGCAGAAGCGTGTCAGCTGCTTCCTGCCGCGGCATCAGACACTTCTGACACAAACTCTTCACACAACCACAAACTGCACTTCTCACTTTTATGTTCTTCTTGTTTTCAGACTTATGGTTGTTCTTAAAGTGATTCCAGTGTTTGACGTTCTCCTGAAGCAGAAGCCTTGGTCCTGGATCCTTGGACCACTGCAGCCTCTGATTTTAATAACTTCATTAACTTTGTTTGCTACTTTACTTTTCTGAATCTGCGACACACGAATGATTTGATGATGTTCTGCTCAGACAAAAGAATACAGCCGCTGTGGCCTCCCATCACAGTACTATCAAGGTCCTACCCTGCTTAGCTTATATTGTCATACAGTATATGGCTTTCACTTGTGTGCAGCTCATCAGAAAGTTAGAAAACCAGAACATTTCAATGTCTTAAAACAATTCCTGAGCATAACCATCACACTTCCAAAACTAAACTTAGAACCGTCAAATCGACTGCTGTGGGAGTTCTGATATCAAACAGAGCCTTCATTAGTCTGACGTCCACATCTGGGATCCACACGCAGCGTTGACGTAATGCACTTTCTCCACGGTCCCTTACGTCCCAACCCTGGCCCCTCCCTCCAGCCCCGCTCCGCGCTGGCGTGGATCAGCAGCGGCACAGTGCGCCAGAGAAGCGGCGGACAGGCGTGGATCTCACCGGGAGGACCAGCCCTGACCACCGCGGACCTCCCCATCCTCCAAACAACACCAAAGACACACACCGCGCTCCGTGACCCGCTGCGGTCTCCGGACACGTCCTTTACGCACACGTTTGGACTCTGTAAAAGTGGTGTCGGGAGGAGTGGAGATGGAGCAGCAGCAGTCCGACTCTGTGTGCAGCTCTGCCCGCCTCCGAGGCTGCTGATGCCCGCGGACAAGTGGTGGAAAGGCGTCCGGGAAACAGCGTCTGGGAGCGGACCATGTGCACAGGACCATGGCCAACGGAGCGGGGACGGTCATGCTGAAGTGCGTCGTGGTTGGAGACGGCGCCGTGGGGAAGACGTGTCTGCTCATGAGCTATGCCAACGACGCCTTCCCAGAGGAGTATGTGCCCACGGTGTTTGACCATTACGCAGGTATGGAAAGCTTTGGCATTTTCTATTCTCTCAAACTATTCATGAAAGTCACACGGTTTGAGTTGTGCGTAATTGCAGTTGTGTGGAATGCGTCTACAGCGGCACTCCCTCACACTTTGAATGGCATCTGTTGCTATAATGAAAAGCACTTGTTTTAGAGACCCTCGCCGCCCCTCCCTCATCGTGGCTACATATATCTAACACCCCCCCCCCCCCCCCCCCTCCCCTGTTATCTCCCCCCTCCCTCCCTTCTCTCTCCCACTAAAACACAATCTCTGTCATGTCATTGCAGTGAGCGTCAACGTTGGAGGAAAGCAGTATTTATTGGGGCTTTACGACACAGCTGGTCAGGTAGGAGAGATATTTTTGATTCTGGCCTTGGTCCAAACGTGTCAAGGGCTCTCCTACTGTACCCACCCCCCCTATACACTCTCTCTCTCTTCCTCTTGAGACTAATATAGGTACAGCCTCTCCCACATATAGAACAGAGCACATCCAAACTCCCTGCAACAGGTGATGTGTCCGCAGCCGTGGAGAGGCTTCAGAGGCTTCAGAGGCTTCAGAGGCTTCAGAGGCTTCAGAGGCTTCAGAGGCTTCAGAGGCTTCAGAGGCTTCAGAGGCTTCAGAGGCTTCAGAGGCACAGAGCTGCGGGGAAAGGCCGGGTCAATACATCTATTATGCAGCGAACAGGGCACACTATGTCCAGTAAAGTGATGTCAGAGGTTTGTTCATGGGGCCTTTACAATGTGGCATTCAGAAAACAGAAGTAAAACTGTGGACAATCGTGTTTTCAACTCAGCAGAAGTTCAGCGAGGAAAGATCTACAGTGTTTTAGAAACGCTCATGGTCTGGTCCTAACTGAGGACTTTTGTTGAAATATATTACTGCTTTATTTTCATACCAGTGTTGTGGTTAGACTTATGTGTGACTAAGATTATGTCTGGGGCTGAAATATTGAAATATAATTAATCTTTGCGTAACATCTAAAACATGAATTAACGATGTGTTTTGTTGCACTGCTTTTTGATCTGAAGATTCCCAAAGGTCGGGTTTCTAACTTGACTTTTTGTGATCATAAATACTATATTCTGTTAGAGCCAAAGTCAAAAAGTCCCATTTTGTGAAGAGCCAGTCCAAACTCAGGCCCAGGGGCTGTTTGCGGTCTGCGGTGTCATTGTCCGTGGCCCTTTGCTTTGCTAACAGAAAAACCCATTGTAAACATACATCTCATTCCGTGTCATCCAGCCAACTTCATCTCCTTGACTGATCTCATGTGCCTCATTATAGATGTTTACACTCTGCTATCTTCAGCTCAGTCAGATCTGTCTCATTCTGGACATTTCAGCTCAATACGGCCTCAATCCTGTCAAAATGCGGGTTATCGGCCCCGGGACAAGTCTGGTTTTAAACATGTCTCAGAGCCACTATTTGACGTCGAAAACCAAAAATGTAATGTGAAAACTATCAATAAAACCACTGTTTTTTGGACCAGGAACTACCCGTACTTTCTGTATAAGGTGGTATCAAGTTTTACCCCAACACATCTTTAGAAGTTTTAAATAGTCCAGTTTTAGCTAAATCCAAACAATAATCACATTTTGATTTCAGAAAAAAAACAGACATTAATTGTAAAACTAATGTCAAAATATGTGTTTATTTGTATTGGGGAATTTAGAAAATATAACATTAATAATATGAAAGACCACAGTGAGTCTGACCACAGTGAGCCCTGACCACAGTGAGTCTGACCACAGTGAGTCTGACCACAGTGAGTCTGACCACAGTGAGTCTGACCACAGTGACCACAGTGAGCCCTGACCACAGTGAGTCTGACCACAGTGAGTCTGACCACAGTGAGTCTGACCACAGTGAGTCTGACCACAGTGAGTCTGACCACAGTGAGTCTGACCAGTGAGTCTGACCACAGTGAGTCTGACCACAGTGAGTCTGACCACAGTGAGTCTGACCACAGTGACCACAGTGAGCCCTGACCACAGTGAGTCTGACCACAGTGAGTCTGACCACAGTGAGTCTGACCACAGTGAGTCTGACCACAGTGAGTCTGACCACAGTGAGTCTGACCACAGTGAGTCTGACCACAGTGACCACAGTGAGCCCTGACCACAGTGAGTCTGACCACAGTGAGTCTGACCACAGTGAGTCTGACCACAGTGAGTCTGACCACAGTGAGTCTGACCACAGTGAGTCTGACCACAGTGAGTCTGACCAGTGAGTCTGACCACAGTGAGTCTGACCACAGTGAGTCGCGGCTCTATGGTCGCTGTGGGATACTTCCGGGCCGAGAACAGAACGAGGCCTCGATATGGTCGTCTGAGCGTGTTTGTAATGAATCCTCCACAAAGCGAAGCAGATCAAAGCATTTAACTAAACACGGAGTCGCCTCGGTCTGCGTTGGAAACCAGAGACATCCAGAAACATAAACACTTTCATTTATGGAAGTCTTCACGGGAGGAACTGTTGTCGGCTCGAAAACACTACAGCTCCTCGTGTTCATGATATTATTGAAAAAGAAGTGAATAATGTTACGGTGCTTTCATGCCCAGGACATGGAGAGACTATTCTGAGCCACAGGAAGTGCAGAGCCCTGAGAACAGGACTAATGTGATGGTACTTCCTGGTTCTAGTCTGGACTAATGTGATAGTACTTCCTGGTTTTAGTCCGGACTAATGTGATGGTACTTCCTGGTTCTAGTCAGGACTAATGTGATAGTACTTCCTGGTTTTAGTCCGGACTAATGTGATGGTACTTCCTGGTTCTAGTCAGGACTAATGTGATGGTACTTCCTGGTTCTAGTCTGGACTAATGTGATGGTACTTCCTGGTTCTAGTCAGGACTAATGTGATGGTACTTCCTGGTTTTAGTCCGGACTAATGTGATGGTACTTCCTGGTTTTAGTCTGGACTAATGTGATGGTACTTCCTGGTTTTAGTCCGGACTAATGTGATGGTACTTCCTGGTTCTAGTCAGGACTAATGTGATAGTACTTCCTGGTTTTAGTCCGGACTAATGTGATGGTACTTCCTGGTTCTAGTCAGGACTAATGTGATAGTACTTCCTGGTTTTAGTCCGGACTAATGTGATGGTACTTCCTGGTTCTAGTCAGGACTAATGTGATAGTACTTCCTGGTTTTAGTCCGGACTAATGTGATGGTACTTCCTGGTTTTAGTCCGGACTAATGTGATGGTACTTCCTGGTTCTAGTCAGGACTAATGTGATAGTACTTCCTGGTTTTAGTCCGGACTAATGTGATAGTACTTCCTGGTTCTAGTCAGGACTAATGTGATGGTACTTCCTGGTTCTAGTCAGGACTAATGTGATAGTACTTCCTGGTTCTAGTCAGGACTAATGTGATAGTACTTCCTGGTTCTAGTCAGGACTAATGTGATGGTACTTCCTGGTTCTAGTCAGGACTAATGTGATGGTACTTCCTGGTTCTAGTCAGGACTAATGTGATGGTACTTCCTGGTTCTAGTCAGGACTAATGTGATAGTACTTCCTGGTTCTAGTCAGGACTAATGTGATAGTACTTCCTGGTTCTAGTCAGGACTAATGTGATGGTACTTCCTGGTTCTAGTCAGGACTAATGTGATGGTACTTCCTGGTTCTAGTCTGGGCTCTAGCTGATTATACTGCAGCTGACCCCAGACCAGTGAGCAGGCCCTGGTGTTTTTCAACCAGTGGGCCGTGGTACAGTCGTGTGCCTTGAGATGTTATGCCTTGGGAAATATTCCAACATCACAAACTTGGTCAAAATAATATGAAAATAAGTGAATGTGAGGAGATGATGTGGCTTATAAAGATAATGAGTCCAGTAAACGGACGTAATGTTAGTATTTGGGCTTGGACCAGAACCTCGGACTGGGCTCACGGAGGGGGTTTACTATCAGACAACAGAGACAGTGGTGCAGATGTGAATTATATATAAGATAGATATTTATAATGACACACAATAGTTACATAAAAGAATGGAATGGGTTTGAGTGAGAGATTATTTGCGCTTGTTTAATTTTCCATATGTTTCTACTTTGATTAGAACGACTTTGCTTTCAAACTAAAAGATGCAAAGTTTCATGTTTGCACCAGTTTCAGCCGCTGGAGTGTGAAGTGACTGAGCAAGAATCCCCAAGTCTGATTTAGACACTATTCTTTATTCTTGAAAACACACTTATGCACAGATACTTACAGTACGTAGGGACTGATCAGGTTTGCACTCAGCCCTCACAGCAAGAAGGTTCCATTCTCGTTCCATCCTTTCTGTGAGGGGCATGTTTCTATGTTTCTATGTTTCTCTGGGTCTGGGTGGGTTTCCTTCGGGTGCTCCGGTTTCCCCCAACACACACACAATGGGTATAGTCTCCATCTCTGGGAGGTAAGAATCATGTAGATTTCTTACAAGCACACAAAACAAAAACGTTTCCTGCTCCATTTCTGAGATTTTTGACGAGATCTTTTATATTTGAGTCTCTTTTCTGAAATCACAAACTTGACGTGGAAAGTGACGTATGTTTTTCCCGTGGTCCAAACCAACACCATCTGCACTGGTCCTGACAGAGGCCCCAGTGGCACTGAAGCTGCACTGGTCCTGACAGAGGCCCCAGTGGCACTGAAGCTGCACTGGTCCTGACAGAGGCCCCAGTGGCACTGAAGCTGCACTGGTCCTGACAGAGGCCCCAGTGGCACTGAAGCTGCACTGGTCCTGACAGAGGCCCCAGTGGCACTGAAGCTGCACTGGTCCTGACAGAGGCCCCAGTGGCACTGAAGCTGCACTGGTCCTGACAGAGGCCCCAGTGGCACTGAAGCTGCACTGGTCCTGACAGAGGCCCCAGTGGCACTGAAGCTGCACTGGTCCTGACAGAGGCCCCAGTGGCACTGAAGCTGCACTGGTCCTGACAGAGGCCCCAGTGGCACTGAAGCTGCACTGGTCCTGACAGAGGCCCCAGTGGCACTGAAGCATGGGTCAAATGCAGAGGGCAAATTCCATTAAGGTCTTAGCTGCAAATGCCAAATATCTAAACTTAAATTTTAGTAAGATCAATTTACCAAAGAAAACAAACTTTGGTCTGATGCTGATGTGTTTCCATAGTTTTTCTTTTAAAGTTGTTCTTTAAACATACTCCATAAACTTCTTCTTCAGTGCAGAGTTTATGTTGTTCTTCCTGTTTGGGAGCTGTGTTACTGAAATATGAGCCCTGCGCTGCAACCATGGATCTATTATAATAACTGGATAGACTATTACAGCTAGGAGCTGAAGAACTCATGTGCTCGGGGGATTCTCTCTGTACTGCAGACTGAACCAGACTGAACCAGACTAAATTCACGTGGGCTACACAGACATTTTCCCCATAGGACTCAATGTAAACTAAAACACCTGACAGAGAACCTGGCAGAGAACCTGGCAGAGAACCTGACAGAGAACCTGACAGAGAACCTACAGAGAACCTGACAGAGAACCTGGCAGAGAACCTGACAGAGAACCTGACAGAGAACCTGACAG